CTTCTGCACTTCATTTAGAGATTGTAACAGATTATTCAGCAGACTCATTTATTGCAGCGTTCAGAAGGTTCACTGGACGTCGAGGTGTCTGCAGAACTCTCCACAGTGATTGTGGCACCACATTTCAAGGCGCAGACACGCTCATCAGACAACTCTTCAAGCAGGGGACTCAACAGTTCAGTCAACTCGCAGCTGTATTTGCAAAGGATGGAACTGATTGGAAGTTTAATCCACCAGCTGCACCACATATGGGAGGAAAATGGGAAGCTGCAGTCAAATCAGTAAAGTTCCATCTTAACAGAACGATAGGCGACTCACTCTTTACATATGAAGAGCTTTCCACACTGCTTGTCCAGATAGAAGCAGTCCTTAACTCCAGACCACTCGAGCCTCTCTCAGCCGACTCTACAGACATCTCAGCGTTGACTCCAGCACACTTCTTGGTTGGTGAACCGCTAGTAACATTACCAGAGCCTTCACTGGAAGATGTGCCAATGCCACGCTTGTCCAGGTGGCAATTTATTCAGCAGCGACTCCAATCGTTTTGGTCAACGTGGTCAGAACAATACCTTCAGCAGCAACTCGCCATTTCCAAGTGGAAACACCCCCTTCACAACATCACAGTCGGCTCACTTGTACTACTCACTGACGAGAGGTTCCCACCAACGAAGTGGCCTCTCGCCAGAGTGATTGAGGTGTTCCCAGGATCAGACGGACTCATCAGAACAGTCAAACTCAGGACAGCAACAGCAGAACTCGTCAGACCACTCACAAACTAGTCATCTTACCATACACTCCACCAGCAGAAGATCAGCAAAGGCGTTGCTGATGGTGGGACAATGTTCTGACTTGGAGGGGCCCAAGTCAGTTAGTCAGAAATATTCAAAAATTGTTAATGCCGGACTTGTCCACCGGCGCGTCAGTCAACTCACTGGACCAATCATCGGGAAGTATTTCCCTCATGGCCCAGAAGGCAACTCTACGGCCCTAGTGACGCCAACAAGCACGCGGTCGAGCACTTGTGGCGTCAGTTAGCTCCAGGCAAATCACGCGGTCATCTCTGTATAATTGTTCGCAGTCAAATCGCGGTTTTGTGCAGTCAGCTCACCTTTGGTAGTACCAAAGTACGGTCAAGTAGACTCAGACAACTCTCACGAACATACGTGAATCATCAAATTACTCTCATCAGTGCCAGTGGTCCAGTATATTCAGTTGTAGTGTCTTTGGGCGCGAAGCTGAACTGGCGTCGACGCCATAGTGCCTCACGGACATTCACATATACATCGCACCCCCGAACAACTCTGGTGTATACTGTGAATGTTGCTATTCACTGTGTTTGAGACTTTTTTTGGTGAAAAAATAACCATCAGACAATCATAAGTGTATGAACAATTAATGTACAGTCAATTCACCTAAACTCAGTGATTATTAATTTCTATTGTTTAAGTTAAGTGTTATTGTTGAATAAAATCTATAAAACCCAAGCAATTCGGTGTTAATAAACTATTTTTTGGAACCTTCTAGCATCCAACCTTTGTTCTTATTCTGCTCTTAATTATTACAGTCCACTAGTTAGTTTGCTCGTCCGGCCGACTCGAAGTCAGAACAGTTCACCAACAACGAAAGTTTGCGTAAGTATAGACAGCTCAGAATATCTTGATTAGAGTTTTTAGTAGACAGACTCCTTTGGTAATTCTACCAGAAGAGTTTGCAATGCCTTTCGGAGGGATACCCGATGATTGTTTCGACACTATCAATAATTTAAAGAATTTCTCTGAGATGAAAGATAGCTCAAAACCAGGATCAAGAAATATTCGCGCTTCGACAGGCTTCTTTGAGCATGAATAACTAGTACTCTGCCTGTGGCAAGTAGAACAGAGGGTTTTTCGGTCTTTCCTCTCTTTTCTCGACGTTCAAACAATGGATAAGAGCATTGAGTAGTTGGTGCTGCAGTATGCAGGTCTCTCTCGACAATAGATAATGCTTCTCAGAAGATTTACTTAATGCTCTCGACTGCTGCATGAAGCAGATTGCTTTGTGCATTAGATAATTCACTCTCAGTTGGTTCAGCGATGAACCAGTACTTAAATTCACTGGTAGGCAACTTTTTGTTGATGTTGTCTGCGTTAAGCAGTTTGCTCAACTCTGTAGATAATTCATTCTCGGAAGTAGTAGATGGAAATGTACTCATGGTCTTGAGTCTATTGCTCCTCAATATAGATAATTTACTTACTAGTGATGCTGCCTTAAGCAGATGGCTCTTGGCGGTAGATAATGCAGACTCCGATTATTCAGGAGAAATGCACACTAAGTAGACTCGGAAGTGGAAGAAGCCTCAGTGCTGTTAGCTCTAGAGAATGCAGACTCAGGAATCTCAGCGATCAGCAGATCGCTTTTGCTCTTAGATAATTCTAGCTCTCGGTTGGAAAATGATCTCCTGGTTGTCAATACTCGTTCAGATAGCCTTACGAGTCATTGCTCAGGTGTAGAAGGTTGACTCAGTTTTGCCACAAGTCTTATTCATTCTTATTCATTCTTTACAAATCTTACAAGTTTGAGTCAATCATCAGTACTAGTGCTATTGTAAATCATCAGAAACATTCAGGCTTTACTCTAAATCTATAATCAAGTAATATTTCACGATATTTCATTGTAAATTCAAGACATTTCATCAAATTCATTTTGCATTGCATTGATAGGCTAACGCCACGTGCACAATCACATTCTTGCTCAACTTGAGAAGCGTGCTGAGCTCGTGTGGGAGGTCAATAATACCGAACACACCAAGTTGAGTAGTTTTTTGGACATTCAATTCAGATTCAAGAATTAAAATTAGACATTCAGTGATTTTGAGCGACATTCAGTCTTCCTAGTTAACAACTCAAGTTTGTCAGTGTATTTAGTGTACCTGTTAGTGCTGAAAATAAAGATATTTTATTTTTGTTATAAAACCTGACTTCCGTTTGCTCTGTTCCGGCACAATCATCCCTATCCTTAAACGGTTAGGTTAATTCACAAGTTGAGATTTTCTCAACATTTAATGGTCCTTCGAGCCGGATCAGAGCTCTCGGTTTGGAAATACAAATTTTTGGTGCTACCAGTGTACTGCTTCAGACAATCAAGTGTGTAGTGCACAAAATGGCCGACCAAGACAGGAATAGTGAGGAGCAAGAGTCCACGACCTCGAAGCCTCAACCAACAATCAGCGTGACTCCTGACGATGGTGCAGAGGAGTTTGGTAGTCCAACCGATCAAATGGATAATCCATTAGCTCAGCCAAGTAGAAGATCAGCTACCGAAAGCATCATTCGGGTTGTTACACCACCCAATCCAGGTCTACCCATTCAACTAATGTTCAAAATCAAGTCTCAAATGGCTCGGCTACGCTTAGCCCAGTCATTCACTCAACAAATCACGGACCAGCAACAGACAATCACCAAAGAAGAAAGACTTCGCTGGAAAAACAACTCACAGCATTACACGAGTCTTTCAATTCAGAACATCAAGTGCTCGAGGAGGTTTGGCCACCATCTCAATTGCATCATCCGTACATTGTGGATGATGTCTTTGAGACATTCAACAAATCAGTCTCAGACTTCTTCATGATATCTGCTAAAGTAGCTTCCAAAGAACCTCCAGTACAATCAACATCAACCAGTGGTGCATCTGACGTAGCACAAGCATTAGCCCGACTTCCAAAGTTATCAGTACTAAAATTTCATGGAACCAGTGCCTCCTGGTTGTCATTCAGAGATCAATTTGAGTCCATGATAGCCAATCAACCTGGTCTGGATGAGGTAATCAAGTTTAATTATCTTAAATCAGCTCTCTCAGGTCCAGCTCTCTCTCTGGTAGAGAACCTTCCTTACACGAAGGAATCATTCACCAAGGCATGGTCGACACTCATATCCAGGTACGAGAATCGCAAAAGCTCATCAATGTTCACCTGGAAAATCTCTTCAGCCAGTTTGCTGAGTCTAAAAGAGCTGCTCTTCATTTAGCCAAGATATCATCCCTACTCACCATTGTAGACAACTCATTGGACTCACTCAAGCTATTGGGACAATCAACCGAGAATTGGGATACAATTCTCATATTTCACATTCTCAAACATCTTGACCAACATTCTCGTGAGCTTTGGGAAACTCAGGACAATGATCTTGAGCGGATGCCTACGTACTCAGAGTTTCGTGAGTTTCTGCTGGCTCGGATTCGTACCTTGGAGAAACTGGAGCCACGCATCAAATCAGACAATCAACAACGCTCCTCGCATTCAACCACCAGTGAGCGTAGATTCATTTGTAACTGCTGCAATGGCGGTCATTCATCAACTCACAGCAGTAACCTACGGCACTAGATCAGCTCCTTATCTAGCAGTTCGTGTGTTACTGCAATTAGTAGAGGATGAAGGCCATAAATATCCAAAAGCAACTCAGACAATCATTAAAGGCAGATATGTCGACGACATATTTGGAGGAGCAGATTCTCCAGAAGAACTAATTCAAGTTGCTGAGGAATTAATCAACTTGTGCAAGGCGGGCGGCTTTCCCCTTGCAAAATGGCAATCAAACAGTCAATCACTTCTTCAAAAAACGTCACAATCATCAGGCAATCGACAAAAAATCACCTTCGAAGAATGCACTACAAAAATTCTTGCACTTCAATGGAATCCAAGCTCAGACACATTCACATTCACATCAAAATCAGTCACTCATGAGTCAACATATTCAAAACGCCTCATTCTTTCAGAAGTAGCTCAAATTTATGATCCTTTGGGGTTTGTGTCACCAATCACAATCAGAGCTAAGATGCTCCTTCAAGAACTCTGGTGACACAACCTCAGCTGGGACTAACCAGTCCCACAATCAATCATCAATCGCTGGCTGATCATCAGAGAAGAATTCACTCAACTTCATGAGACTTCACTTCCCCGATAGATTCACACAACCAGACACTCAACTGTAGAAATTCATGGATTCTCTGATGCTTCACAGCTTGCGATGGCTGCAGCAATCTACTTAAAAATCAATTCACCGTCCACAGGGCCCAAAATCACACTCATCTGTGCGAAAACTAAAGTAGCACCAATCAAACAAATCACGATCTCCAGGCTAGAGTTAACTGCTGCGTTAATTCTAGCGAAACTCACGAAGTATGTTCGAGCTACACTCCACAGAGTGAACATACATTCAATTCACTTATGGACGGACTCGTCAATCACCTACTCATGGATCTATTCAATCGCAGGACGCTGGAAGGACTTTGTCAGAAACAGAGTAGTGCAAATTCAAGAACTAGATGCGGACGCGCACTGGCACCACATTTCTGGCAAGGAAAATCCAGCGGACTGTGCTCCAAGAGGCATTACAGCCAATCAATTGAAAGATTACTCGCTATGGTGGAGGGGACCCACCTGGTTAGCTGAAAATCAAGAAAACTGGCCAGTAAATTTACCACCAGCTGACGAGGCTTGTAACTTAGAAGCTCGTCCTAGAATTTCACTCATAGCAGCAATTCAAGATACAATAATTCGATGGGACTTGGTTAACAGATATTCTACACTTAACAAGTTACTTAGAATCACCGCCTTAATCATTAAATTCACTCCAAGACTTCGACATTCACCAGTTACCAGTCCTTTAGCATCAATCACAACAGCTGACATCGAAAAAGCGAGAATCTTCTGGATAAAGTCTACTCAAGCAGCACATTTTCACCAAGAAATCAGGACTTTATCCAACAATCAACATCTTCCACCAAACCATTCATTCAACAGACTCACAGCATACGTTGACTCAGGAGGGGTTCTACGAGTAGGAGGACGACTTCAGCATGCTCAGTTGAGTCATGATTCAAAACATCAATTCTACCTCGACATTCACCATTCACCACTCTTATTATTCGACATTATCATTTAATCACGCTACATGGTGGCACTCAACTTACACTCACAACAATCAGACAACGTTACTGGATCATGGGTGGAAGAGCTCCAGTGAAAACATTCATTCTTCGGTGCATCGAATGTGCTCGACAAAGAGGCATAAGAGCACAACAACTCATGGGTCAATTGACACAATCACGTATCACTCCTTCACGGCCATTCTCTCATACTGGTATAGACTATGCTGGGCCATTCACAATCAAAACATCATCAGGCAGAGGAGCCAAGACTAGAAAAGCTTGGGTCTGCGTATTTGTCTGCATGTCAACTTCTGCAGTCCATTTGGAAGCAGTTAGTGACTATTCAACTGAAGCATTTATTGCTGCCTACAGGAGATTCACCTCTAGACGAGGATTATGCCAGACAATCTATTCTGACTGTGGCAGAAATTTCATTGGAGCTGAGATAGAACTCAAGAAATTATTCACACAATTCACCAGAGAACATGAGGTCATCTCTAGATTCATCATCACCAACGGCACTCAATGGTCATTCAACCCACCTGCAGCACCACACATGGGTGGCAAGTGGGAGTCAGTAGTGAAATCACTTAAATTTTATTTGACGAGAACAGTAAAAGAATCACTCTTCACGTTTGAAGAGATCACCACACTACTGACACAAATAGAAGCCATTCTCAACTCAAGACCTCTAGAGCCAATCAGTGATGACCCAGAAGTCATTCAAGCACTCACTCCTGGACATTTTCTTATTGGGTCAGCACTCAACACTGTTTCTGAACCATCAACCTCAGAACCTGCACATTCAATTCAAAATCGATGGCGGATGATTCAACGACAATCACAGCAGTTCTGGTACAGGTGGTCACAATCTTACTTACAAAAATTACAAGCTATTTCTAAGTGGTTTTTCAGGAACAGAACAATTCAAGTTGGTGCATTAGCCTTGCTAACTGATGAAAGATTTCCCCCCACGAAACGGCCACTCGTGAGGATAATTCAACTACACCCAGGGCAAGATGGGCTTCCACGAGTAGCAACGGTGAAGACACCAACAACGACGTTGGTCAGACCAATCGTCAAGCTAGCCATTCTACCAATCAACCCAACTCCTGAAGCCCAGCAGCAGAATCAACCAGAAGACAATCATCAACCAGTTGCTGATGGCGGGCGGCATGTTGAGAATTAATTAATTCTCAATTTGAATTTGCCAGCTGACAGGAACTTCGGCGGCCATCTTGGGACTGGGTCGATAACCAATCGACCTAATAATCAATAATTCTTTATCTAGTCACTCATTTGACTACTTTTGAGTGTCCCCTTTGACTAATGAAGTTCCTGTCGCCATTCTTTCACTGTTCTCGTTCACGTTTACACGCCATTCTTATTCATTCTTCACAAATCTTACAAGTTTGAGTCAATCATCAGTACTAGTGCTATTGTAAATCATCAGAAACATTCAGGCTTTACTCTAAATCTGTAATCAAGTAATATTTCACGATATTTCATTGTAAATTCAAGACATTTCATCAAATTCATTTTGCATTGCATTGATAGGCTAACGCCACGTGCACGATCACATTCTTGCTCAACTTGAGAAGCGTGCTGAGCTCGTGTGGGAGGTCAATAATACCGAACACACCAAGTTGAGTAGTTTTTTGGACATTCAATTCAGATTCAAGAATTAAAATTAGACATTCAGTGATTTTGAGCGACATTCAGTCTTCCTAGTTAACAACTCAAGTTTGTCAGTGTATTTAGTGTACCTGTTAGTGCTGAAAATAAAGATATTTTATTTTTGTTATAAAACCTGACTTCCGTTTGCTCTGTTCCGGCACAATCATCCCTATCCTTAAACGGTTAGGTTATTCACAAGTTGAGATTTTCTCAACACATATTTTTACTCTGAATTCTATCCTAATGTGCATAAAATGTATATCCGACACGTTTATGTCTATGTATCTATAAATAAATATGCTCAACACAGAAAGTGACAACGACTATATAGTTCAGTCTACTAGAATCGAAAGGAAGCCTAGAACATTCGAGAACGGCAGAGGCAACTTGATCCTGAGAATTGCAGTAGATTAACATGAGCGAGTAAGTCCATACTGATGGAACACAAAAAGTCGTAAAAACATTAAACGCGAGGTATCTAAATCTAAGAATTTATAACATTTAAAATAATTTTTTTTTTCTAATTTAGTATATCTTATGACACAATCTACATAACAACTAAAAACTTAGCGTGACTGTTACTTACTAATTGGCTAAAATATTTTTAAAATTTCGCACATGTATGAAATCTTAATAGTCACGCCTTTTTTGGTGTTTCACGAGTTTTGGTACATATCAACTTGAAAGAAATATTAAAAAAATATAGAATTATTTAGAAAATACTTTTATTATTTGTATATAAGCGCTCGGGCAAGATTAACTTGTTATCATTTTGTCATCAGTTACTTAATAGCAATCAAAAACTCTGATCATCAACTCCATGAATAAACTCATTTTACGTAATTTTCGCGCAACGAATTTCAATTAATGTCGTAGATTATGATTAAAACAGTAATAATAATTGACAGTATGCATAATCGAAAGCCAAATACTGCTTTCCGTGCGAATTCTTGATTTCTGCCAATGTTCATATAAGAATGAAGAAAAATTTTTATTTAAAAAATGATTACCTGCAAAAATCATCTTAAAACTTATACAAAGACACGGTTGTGACTCGTCGTGACGTAAGGGGAAGATGGCGGCAATTCATGCTTTGCGCACGAGACACTACTGTATCTCTTGATGATTGTAACAATTTTTATGGGTTTTAATAGTTGAAACGTCACAAATTATTGAATGAGCGATTCAATAGCGTCTACAAGTTCAGAAGAAATTATTTATAACGAGATTTCCCATCCCAGCAATAGTGAAATAGTGCGCTCTGGGGTTTAAGTAGATAAATACACTTACTGAGTACGTACTACACACGGAACCTCTATTCGATTTAACGACCCCACACCTTTGCTGTCCCCACGTTTGTACAAATGAACGATAGAATGCCAATATATTTATCAGGGAAAGAATGTATCATACATATCCAATTTTACTTCTATGACGCCTTCTGTGCACTACTTACCAAGAATTTGTAGCTATTTGAACTCTTCAATCAATCAAGCAGTGGAGCAGTTAATCGTATATTCCATCTGCCTTTATTTACGTCTTTTTAACATGTTTCAATAAAGCTTTCCCTACTTAACCCTATTCTGGACAAACATGGTGTGCTGTATTAGCCTTATTTTCTGTCTCATTTGGTAACTATGGTAAATTAAAGGAAACTTGTACATGTGCGAATTTTTTTGGATAAAAATTTCTACAAGAATTGCACGAAGAAGTAAATGTCGGTCTTTATGCGTACATAAATATTGATCCTGCATAAAAAATTTCATCACAGTGTTTTATTTGAATGAAATTTTTTCAGTACCTCAAGATATATAACTCCTTTTTGTAATTTCGTCACTCGATCCCAGAGTTGCGTATCTTCAATCTCATCATATATCCGGAGGGGTCTTGATTCGTCGGTGAAAAATCTGGGTTTTCTAGCTTGAACTATTACAACATCGAAGTAGTTTTTCCAGTCTTCACCCACCAAATACGTCATGCCTTTATTGCTGAAAATATAAATGAACAAACACATCATATATTTACATGAAACATATACATTTCAATAGTAGTAATCAATTGATATTAACAATGCTAAGAAAAATGAGAATTTAATTTGAAAAAACTATGGCTTCTTTTTCAGAGAGACAAATTGCAATAAAAAATGCAGTTAGAATATCACAAAAATCTGTTATTCCTGGTGTGAGATTTATTATCCATAAAAGATTTTTTAAATAATATCATAAATGGAAGACATAAAATAATCAGACAAATCATTACGCCTAAAAATATGATGATCAATCATTAAAAATACCATTTTTTTCATTTATATAGATGCACAAAAAAACGTTAAAATACGTTTTAATATATAGAAATATAAAAATTCTTCAGGATTTTACGGATCTATGATTGAAAATTGATTTCCATGGCATTATTCCGAATTAATCAATGATGACCTGATTTCACATTATTTTTAAAATTCAAAATTTCTTTTATACGTGTAAATAAATGAGGATTTATTTATACATACTCTTCAACTGTCATTGAAATTTAATACTATTCATAATGTTACCATAACTTTTATATCAGATAAGAATATTGTTGATTTTGATATTGTAAATAATTTATTAGTTTCTGCAAAAGTTGACACATTTGGACAGATCAATAGCCTGACTCGGGTTGCATGCTTTAATTGAATAGAAAATATACTTGTAATAATAAATTGACTCACATAGTAAATCATAAAAAAATAGATTAGAACAGTTGCCATAAAACTTATGCATTTAAAAATTTGTTTCTATGCAATATACTGACGATGGAAGGTCAATTTTTATAACTGTATTATTAATTAGTTAATTATAATCAACCACTTTTTTACGATTGTCTTACTTTTAAATAGCTAGTATTTTCATGTTTTATTAGTTATTGTGTTTGAAAAAAAAACGGTTTGAACTGAATTTTTCCAAATTTCTTTTAATTCTTCTTGGTAATAATACATTTCGAATTAGTTTTAGTTGAAGTTGATATCTTGATCGGTTCTTATGATATCGAAAATGAAAAAAATGCTGACGTCCGTACATACATACATACGTACGCACACCCATCATTTAAAAAACATGTCAGTATGCCTGCTAATATCCTGAAATGTAGCGATTTGATGAAAATTTAGGTTTCACTAATTGACTCAATTACAATAACTTCTTAATGGGAAGTTAAATATGTATTTGAACACACATTGCAATTATTCTGAAAGTTTGGTAACTGGTACTATCATTGATTTCCAATTAAAATTCGTAATGAAGATAATTCACTTATTTTATACTTAAATATCATTTGTTTTTTACAGTAAAAATTTATCGATAAATCAATGATGACCTGATTTTGTTTTCTTCCTTTTGTTTATTTACAGTTGAATGACAAAAATTATATCAAGTCAAAATAACAAACTCATTTATGAATAGTAAATAGTAAATTTTCCAATAGAATAAATTATTACCAGTATACTCAGTATTCTGTATTCTAATCTATCAATGTTACATACTCATGTTCATGATTATAGATTGATTACGTGAAGTTTTGCAGCAGAAAATCCGTATAAATGACTTAATTTCAGAGACATATTACTTTGTGCTGAGATTCAAAGAAAAAGAATTGATTCGTACGCACAATACAATTGTTATGAACGAAAAGTGACCGTTTCCGATTATTTTATATAGTTAGTAACTTTATTTTTGTAAAAGAAAGAATTTCCCCTTCAAAGAACTCAGGACAATTAATTACATTGAACCTATTCTGACTTTTAATGACATATTGAATTGGTATGAACAAAAAACGTTAACGTCCATTCATCTTACATTCTTAGTAACTGTTTTTCATATAAGAAAAAATATTACGTTGAAAGGAATTAAATTTATTACAAAAATCTCTTTTTGAGTTGTTTATACTAAGTGAAATTGTTTTCAACTATTAACATAATCGATACTTAGTCTACATTACTTCTGAGATCCTATTCGTTATATCTGAAAAATTTCATTAGAATTAGTCCACCCGTTTCTGAGATTATTCTGGACCGGCAGACAGGCAAAAATTCTAGAAATGGTCATTTACTTGCTAATAGTATGCGAATAACCCTCTGAGCTTAGTTTGAGAAAATTTTCTTAGAATCATTTACATGTGTTTATTCTACTAATTCGAGCAAAGGTGTCATATTTGATGAGTCTATTGAGGTGCATACTCATTAAACGTACGTATCTACAACATGTAATATTAATGATAAAACATATATTTCAGTTCAACATTAAGATTCGTGTCTGTTGCTGAGCGAAAGTTTCCTTCGTATCACGGAAACATTTACAAAACCTAACAAAAATGTTGTAGCAGATACATCAAGATTCGTTAATACAGCTGTATGCTATTTGTTCGAAGGAATACGATATGAATTGAATGGTGTTGAGATTGATCGAAGCAAAAATATTGGTCTCAGAAGTCTGATGAAGGGATATGTACTTCTTCATCCAGGTCAACAAAATTACT